AACAATTTAAATTTACATGTAAATTAAAAATATATTCAATTTTATTGTTCATTTATAATAATACAATAACATTATCAAATATATAAACATAATTAATAATCTTATTTCCGTTCACAACCATAAGTCTCGGGTCCACTGCCGGTGCCAAACAAGCCATGATTGATGGCCCGCAGCATAGGGTAGCTCTTAGAGCAGCACTTGGGATGGAAATCGTCCTGGGTGATTTCCCACACGATTATACCACCGTAACCATTGTCTTTGACCCATTTGCTCTTACTGTTAAATTAATAAAAATATAATTAAAAACAAATAATTTTAAACTAACTTCTAATTGATATCAACGAAATAGCAATTCCCAATATAATCAACATGTTATATACTTAAATACAAATAAATATATTATTTAAACTATTTGCAATTTAACTATAACTAGTAATTAATTTTAATTGAGCATTAAAATATTTGCACTTTTTAGACTTATCGTTAAATTTTAAACTTAATTCTAAAAACTTTATTTAAGAATGAATTTACCGATGTCTTTTTTAGTCCTATTATAATTCAACAAATTCAAAATCATAATATTTATAGTAAAATAATTTACATTTACAGTTTATAAACTAATACTTTACAAATAATAATATTCAATAATTTGTTGGTGAACTACCAACTAAAATTATATTTTATATACACAAACTGTAATATTTACATTCTTTATATTAAACATTTAGCATGCATAACAATTGTTTTATAGATGGAATAGCGAACCACGGAAATTTTGTACATTTCAAATATTTAGTAATATACCCAAACAAATTAATGACACGTTTCAAAGTTTATTAGTAATTAATTGACAAAATATTAAATATACTCCAAAAAATCAAATACATTGTATTAAACCACTAAAATTATCAAAACTACTATTTCACTACTAATACAATAAAACCTCTTTTATTTCATATTTGAAAACTTTTCCAAATTTATTATAAGGAACTTAATATTAAAACTGTAAAATCAGTAAAAGAATTATTTAACTAATATAAATCAAAACTCGCTTGTTTCTTATTTGGGTTATTGTAGTTCAAGACAATATATTTTACAAAACAATCAAATAATACTCACTCATAGGCGGCGTAGGGGTCGTCATAGCCCACCCACGTTAGGTCGTGGTATGAGATGGGGTCGTGTCCCTGATCCGGGTCCTCTTTAGCCCAACCCTTATTCTTAACCAAATCACACATTTCACTGTAGAAAGCGTTGTCGCCCTCGCCATGAGGTGTACGGCCCTCACCAGTGATGGGGGCGCCGATCGAGTGCTTGTTTTG